ATTATTCTCCTCTGTTCACTGAGTAAGAGGGTTTTTTTTCATTTTTTTTTATTTTTCTAAGCAGAGTTATGCATTTTCTCCTCTGTTCACTCATCAAATTATTTGATTTTCATTTATTGTTTCTTGGTTATCCACGATAATGTGCTGATTAATAGACATTTCTTCATCAATTTCATTACTTTTTTTTTCTATTTTCTAATTTTCAAAATAGTTCTCTCTTGTTTTGAATCAAAGGGTTTAAGTTTCGTTGACCTGCCCTACACATTCACTTCTAAAGGGTAACTAATAGGTTTTTACACAAATAAAAATAAAGATACAAATAAAAAGTTTTCTAAATCTAAGTTCTAATAGTTCAACTAAAAATTCTCCTAAATTCTTCACTATTTTTTTCCCTTGTAACAGTGCCAGAGAACTTGGTCCACCTCAGCTATTATCACAATAATGTAAATCCTGGTAATGGGGCACCAAAAAACGTGATATGCTCCCTAATAACTTAATTGAATTCTTAAAATCAGATTTTCTTACGTATTAAGGTTTCTCACTTAAGTATTCATATCATTTCAGTAATATAAGGCTCTAAAGAGTAGAATGTCGAACTTATAGGAAATAATGGGAAGCTAAAGTAGGAAAATGTTATAGCCTATTTAATTTGTTCTTAGTTTAAAATATTGAAATACTTAGGCTTTTCTAACAAACCTACTACATTTATCTAAAGTTACACCTACACAATTTCTAAATACAATATGTGAAAGGGTTACTTGAATGGGATAATATGTGAAAGGGGATGAAGAGTTTGTTAAAGGATTTTAAATACAAACTCTTCATCCCCTCTAAAATCCTCTCCAAACTACTCTTAAAACTACCATGAAACACTCTAAAGCTGCTTTAAACCATCTTGAAACTCTCCAGAATTCGGTCGTGGCACCTAGGTGTCACTCTATTATGGCACCATGGCCTTGGTGCCCAGTCGTTGGCCCCTTTGGCACCAACCACTCGGGCTGCATTTTACTTGACTAGCACTTAGGCCCTGCATTAATCTGATGTCATGCCCTTGCTCTTCAGGACTGAGTCCTTAGTGCCCAGTGGTTGGCGCTCTCGCTCTTGGGTTCCAGTCTTGGCTGGTACCTAGGCGCCCAGTACTTGGCGACATGGCCCCAGCCAACCCAAACAGTTTTTTCTTTAAAATTTCTCCTTTTTGCTCCATGTTTCATAAACTTTGTTTCACTCATAATATCTATTATACCTGCAAGAAAAACATAAAAAAGTCTTTCTTTAAAGTACAATTTCATTCATATAGATGTGCAAAATTTAAAGAAATTCATGCAATCTTTTCACACATTAACAAGCCACGTCTATGAGGATGTCAAGCATCTCAACGACCAACCAAGCAAAGAGGACACGATGATCTTGAAGAGTTTGGAACAATGCATCTTTTTGACTTGCATCAAAACTCTTACTTATTAGAAAAGCTTTATCAGAATTGTTGAGGTCAGTGGGGATCTTGATGGTGCCTTCATCGGTTTTGGGACTGTTCTAATTGGTGTTGTATGTCTAACAATCCTTGTTCAATACTCCCTATCGCCCGAAGGTAGCACGTCCAAGACTACTTCAGATTCCCTGCACAGTCATAATTTTCCTATGGCAGAAAAATTTCACTCCTACGTGGTATGTAAATACCACAACTATGAAATTATTGGGTAGTGGGAGATGGAAGTTTGTGTTGAATGTTTGTGGCGCATTGATCACTAATAAATCCTCCATACTAGTAAATTGATTGCTCCCCTCTCCCTAAATGACAGACAATCTAGTTATACTAAAGGCTTTCTTCTTTTTCCAAAAAACCCATACATGGGGCCAATTGATGTAAAATGATGATCTGTTGATAGGTTCATCTTTTCAAAAGAGACTTTGAATAGGATGCTCCCCGAGATACCTGTGTCAACCATAGTACTTCCCACCTAGCGTCATTGTAAGGATTCTCTGCATGGTTAAGTCGGCATTAGTAAAAATAATTGGGGAGTGGAGCTTCTTCTTTAAGATGGAAGCAATAGCGCAGTATCTCTCAATTTATTCCTCTTTTGGTCATGTCTTCTGATCGAGTCTGCTCTCAATATTATCAATAATATCCCGACGATGTGGATAACGTTGGCTTGGATAAGCCTATCCGAGTCATCTTCTTCAAGTGTTTTTCCCTGCCACCGAGTGTGTGCTTCAAGGGACAAACTCTTTGAGCTTTTTAGCTCAAATTAACTCCTTAACTAAGCTAAAGATGTGTCTGCACTCCTCCGTATCGTAGTTGTGGACTTTATGATACTTGCAAAACTTGTTGGTGTTATGGAGAAAGGCTCCAGTTTTCATCGGCAAGGCCTTAAGGAAATATTCCTTATTGTGAATAGTTTTTACCAGTTCTGCCATAAAAACCCTTAGTTGAGTGGGTCTCGATGTTCCCTGATCACCAGCTGAATGATCATTCCATGAGCTGCGTTTTCAAGGATTTTGTTCAGCCTCTTTATCTCTGTCAAACGATCGACCTCTTTCATACATGGTGAGGGTCATCCCTCCCTCCATCTGTCGTCTTGCGAGCCTGTTTTGCCCAATCAACTGTTGGACCTCTTGCCTTCTGAGACAGGCGGGTTCACGTACTCCTTCACTACAATTTGGTTGTTGCTAACTCCAAGAGTCCACACAAAGTCTCAGGTTCTTGCAAACTCAAAAAATACTTAAATTAAGGTCTCTTCAGGCTTTGTGCAGGGAGCCTTTGCAATCATTGGCTCCAGATTCTGTACTTCCAGCATCTCCTTCTAAAACTATGTAGCGCGCCCGTAGGTTCTTGTTTGACCAATGCTTGAAGTGCCAAAAAGATACTGAATCCTTGTTGGGCTTTTGGGCGCTAGCGAACTACACCATAAATAACATCTTGAGCTCTCTTAAGGTAGTAATAATTTTGATGGAAGTTCGTTGTACCACCTGAGGGCTGAATGTCTAAGCATAGTATAAAATATCTGGCATTTCAATTTGTCAGGAACTTTGAAAATGCATATAGCCAACTCGAAGAATGTAATATGGTCGGCGGGATCACTTTGGCCCTTGTTTGGCTCCAAAGATGGAACCATGAACTTCTCGAGGGGGGCGAGGGGGGGGGGGGGGGGGGTCTTGCCATAAACCGCCCCGGGGGGGCCACAATAATCTGCCAGGAGAATGCATTCTCTTATCAGCATACACTTTCATTCGCCCCTCTTGTAGTATGTTTCACGTCATGAATTCGACACTATCTTGGTACTAGGATTGTTCCACCCGTTTGACTCCTTGAGCCGTCTGATGACCTTGGGGCTTAGGTGCTAGAGGAATAGGTTGTGGGAGAGGTTGTGCCCCCCCCTCAAGCACCACGTGGGTCAGTTACGCAATCTAACTGGCCATTTGATCTTAGAGCTCTTAAATTTGTTGTCGCTCGAATTCTTTGACAGACTCCATATTAAAAGTTTCTCCAAGCTGTGTTTTTTCTCCATGATGCGCTCCTCTTCTTATTGAATGCACGACGTCACGCTCACCGCATCTTTTAGGATGTTGAATCTCAAAAGGTCCTTCGGGACAAGCCAAAGAAATAGAGTGTTGGATGGATGAGAGGAATTAGTGAAGGTAAAGGAAGGAGAGTAAGCAACAAATAGTGCTAATTCTCTTGAAATAGATTTAGTAGCTTTTTGTTTGAAAATGATCGACCTATTTATAGATCATTGGGGGTGTCTAGTAAATTATATAATTGTGCCTCACTTAATAGGAACGTTAATATGAATTTATGAGTCATTACACTATTACATATTTGTAACCGACTTTGACATCTTTTGACCGTGGTAACCACTGTTAGCGTTATTTCGTATTTGCAACTGCTACTAGAGTTGTTTCATTTTTGTAACTGCTCGACTTTGCCCTTTTATCTTCGCTCAATCAGCTAAAGTTCATTCGATCGACTAAAAGTCATTCGACCAACTGACAGAACTTTGGTCACCTTCTATGGGGAGCCCCTTATGAAGGCCAATTGTCCTTAGAAAGAGTTATTCTATTAGGCAGAGGTTGCATCACCGTAATTTGATGGGCAGAATTCATTCGGTCGAGAAATCTTCATAGAAGGTCATGTGGGAGTTCTGCTAAGGGATCGTTTATCTTGTGAGTGTATTTGCATTGATTAAGTTGTCGTCGGTCTAGTTGCGTGGCGTTCTTTAGTTTGAACGAACTTTCATCCAGTCGGATCATGATTGGACTGACCGAAATGATGCTAGATTGTTCGATATTTTACTATTTTCATCACGCGATCGGTATAATTTTCTCGAGATTTAAACAGTCATATTTTCGATATACACATAATCATGTCAATATGAGAATCTAAGTGTTAGATATATAAATAAATAACAATTGGCTGGTATAGATAGGACCGGCTAAATATATAAATTTCTGCCGATATATTTTCAAAAAAAAAAAAAAAAAAAAAAAAAACAATAAACAAAAAATGAAATTTATCCAAAACACAGAACTTTGGTCACCTTCTATGGGGAGCCCCTTATGAAGGCCAATTGTCCTTAGAAAGAGTTATTCTATTAGGCAGAGGTTGCATCACCGTAATTTGATGGGCAGAATTCATTCGGTCGAGAAATCTTCATAGAAGGTCATGTGGGAGTTCCGCTAAGGGATCGTTTATCTTGTGAGTGTATTTGCATTGATTAAGTTGTCGTCGGTCTAGTTGCGTGGCGTTCTTTAGTTTGAACGAACTTTCATCCAGTCGGATCATGATTGGACTGACCGAAATGATGCTAGATTGTTCGATATTTTACTATTTTCATCACGCGATCGGTATAATTTTCTCGAGATTTAAACAGTCATATTTTCGATATACACATAATCATGTCAATATGAGAATCTAAGTGTTAGATATATAAATAAATAACAATTGGCTGGTATAGATAGGACCGGCTAAATATATAAATTTCTGCCGATATATTTTAAAAAAAAAAAAAAAAAAAAAAACTCTGGATATTTTACCGCACGGGAAGTCGAGAGCCGTCGTTCTGGAGAGAGATCAGCAATGGCTTCTACTGTCCAGCTATCTGGATTTTGGGCCTTCTATTTCGGTTGTCCTCAATCCAAAACCCTAGCTCTCCCTCTCGCTTCCTCTTCTGCTTATTCCTCTGAAGCCTCATCCCTCCGCTCCGTAATCCTAACGACGCGCCGTCGCCGGCACTTCGTCCGATCCACCACTTTCGGCAGCCTCTTCGTAACTGCCTCCGTAAGGAAGCTCTCTGAGACTGAGCTCGTTCCCATCTCTTCGGATTCCGACGGAATTGAAGGCCTATTCCCTCCGGGCGCCGGTGTCTATGGAGTTTATGACAAAAATGGGGATCTTCAATTCATTGGGATCTCCCGCAACGTCGGCGCTAGTATTGCCGCGCATAGCAAGATGGTGCCAGTTCTGTGCTGCTCGGTGAAGGTGATTTTTTCTTTCCGATATGGTTATTCTTCCCTTCGTTTTGGGGTTGTTTGGTTGCAAGTTTTAACTTAGTTTTTGCCATAATTTAGGCTAAATCTTGGCAACTCGAGCCATAGAAATCCTACTAGCTCCTTCAATCCCATTTAGATTTACCAGATTTACTTAATAGCTGTATAAGTTCTGAACTTTAATTAGATAAAATGGTCTTATTATCAGTTCTGTAGAATTTATGTTGATAATAAGATTAGGATGTATATTGATACCAGAAAATTGGATAGCCCGGCCTTGAATTTACAGGTGGCATGTTAAGAAGTTTCCTACTAAGGCAGCCATCATGACAGATGGGCATCCCATCAAAATATCGAGATGGAAGATGCTCTGATAGAACAACAACAACAACAACAGCAACAACACAATTTTTATCTCACTACATGAATCCTATTTCTTCATTGCGTCCTACTTAGTGTCATATTTTCATGTAATTCTATTTAATTAAGATCATTTTGCTGTTGGAAGATGCTCTGATACAACAACAACAACAACAACAACAACAACAAAACCTATATCCCACTAAGTGGGGTCGGCTTCATGATTCCTTTTTCTCCATTGCGTCCTATTTAGTGTCGTATTTTCATTTAATTCTAATAAATTAAGATCATTTTTTATGCAATATGCCCAAGTCATCCTAGGTCTACCTCTGCCTTTCATAACATAAGTCGAATCTAAAACATCTACTCTTCTAATCGGATCAACAGATGGTTGACGTTTAATGTGACCAAACTATCTAAGACGACTCTCTCTAATTTTGTCCGTCACTGGACATTTTGTCTTTAAGTGTAAAGCCACTCATCCACCTAATCATTCTTATCTCGGCAACACTTAACTTAATTTTTTGCTTCTCTTTTATAGGCTAACATTCAACGCCATATAGCATTGTAGGTCTCACCACCATCTTATAAAATTTTCCTTTCAGTCTAAGCAGTACTTTTCTATCACACAATAGGCCCGAAACATTCCTCCACTTCAACCAACCAACCTTAAAACTACTAATGACATCCCCATCAATATCACAATCACCTTGAACAATAGGCCCGAGATATCTAAAGTGTTCACACTCTTTAATAATTTGATCACCCATAGTAAAATTTCTGTCACTAGAGCTAGTACTACTAAAATTACATTCCATGTATTCAGTTTTAGTTCTACTCAAACAAAGGCTTTTAGACTCCAAGGTAGACGACTCCAAGGTAGACCTCCATAAATGTAGACCTCCATAATTCAAGTTTTTTCATGGGCTTTTTCTCTATTGTTATCCTCGAGAAGTATATCATCAACAAAAAACATACACTAAGGTACATCCTCTTGTAAGTGTCCAGTAAGACCATCCATAATTAAAGCAAAAAGATATGGGCTTAAAGCCGATCCCTAATGTAAGCCAACAAAAATAGGAAAATATTTGGTCAATCCTCCTTCTGTTCGAACATAAGTAACAGTTCTTGTATACATATCTTTAATGACTTGAATATAAGTCATATCAACACCTTTGTTCTCAAGAACTCTCTAAAGGATATCTTGGAACCTTATCATAAGTTTTTTCTAAATCAATAAAAAACATATGTAGATCCTCCTTATTATCTTTGAACTTATCCATCAAACCTCTCAATAAATGTATAACTTTCATAGTAGACCTGCCCGGCATAAATCCAAATTGATATGAGAAGTCTTTGTAATACGTCTTAACCTATGTTCAATTACTCACTCCCATAATTTTAATGTATGACACATTAACTTAATTCCTCTATAATTGCCACACTCTTGTGCATCCCCTTTATTCTTAAAAATGGGGACCAAAATACTTTTCCTCCACTCTTCAGACATCTTTTTAGTTTTTAAAATATTATAAAAAGAGTTTAGTAAGTCAAGGAACTCCCAAATCTCATAAATCTTTCCACATTTCAATTAGGATATCATCAGGTCCTACAGACTTTTCACCCCTAGTTTTCTTTAAAGCCTCTTCAATTTCTTTTTTACTAGTTCGACGGTAAAACTGAAATATTTTATTATTACTAATGATATTAAAATCACTTAAGTCGATCGTTTTTTCCAAAACTTCATTAAAAAGTTTATTAAAATAACTCACCCACCTATTTTAAATATTATTTTTCTAAGAAAAGCATCTTTTGATTTTCATCTTTAATATACTTGAGTTAAATATTTATTTTTTTCTCTTTGTTTGACTAGTTTATACATATATTTTTTACTCTTCTTAGTATATAATCTAATATAAACATTACTAAAAGCAGTTTTTTAGCATCATAGATTGTTCTCTTAGATTGCCTATGACCGTTTGATATTCTTCCCAGTTCTCCAATCTTTTACATTTAAACCAAATTTTATAATATATTTTCTTATATTTTATCTTTTCTTGCACATTATTATTTCACCACCAACTATTTTTATTTATAGAAATTTTTTCATTTGATTCTCCAAGTACAAATTTTGTCACTTGTTTAATAGTTTTTTTTTACTTTATCTCACATAGAATTTGCTTCTTCATGAACATCCGAAATTTTGAAATTTTGAATTTTACTCATAAAAATACTGTCGTAAGCTTTTGTGTTTGCACTAAAAGTACCACCATCTAATTCAACGAAGACGATTCCAAGTATTCTCTATTTTACAATTCTTTTCTTAAAAACTAAAACTAATAATCGATGTTGAGTACTTAAATCTTCACTTAAAATGACCATCATTACATTATCGACAATCTCTTCTTCTCACAAGAAAAAAATCAATTTGTGTTTTATTAGATCTATTCTTATAAGTAATAATATGCTCATCTTTTTTTTGAATAAAATATTAGCAATTACAAAATCAAATGCTAAAACAAAAACTAATATAACTTTACCTTCTTCATTAATCACTCCAAAACCGTAGCCACCATGAATATTTTTAAAATTTTCTACCACTCTACCGACATGTCCTTTTAACTCTCATCCGATAAAAATTTCTTCTTCGAGAGGTATCATTTGTATCAAGTCTTCTAAGTCGTCCCAAAATTTATCATTAGAACCTATATCTAAATCTCATTGAGGAGCATAAACACTTATAATATTAAAAATCTTAGTATCAGCAATAATCTTAAGGGCTATAATTCTATTTCCAACTCTATTAATTTTTACAACATTATCTTCTAAACTTTTATCTATATTTACATCTATCCCATTTCTAATGCGACTCTTACCTGAATACCAAAGTTTAAAATCTAAGTTATCAATCTCCTTAACTTTTTCTCCAACCCATTTAGTTTTTCGAACACATAAGATATTTATATTTCTATGCATCATAATATCAACTAGTTTAATTAATTTACCAGTAAGAGTACATATATTCCAAGATTCGTTCATAATATTAATTTCATGGACTAACTTATTTACTAGTATTCGTTCGTAATGTGAGAACCCTTTATTTGACACTACACCCGGGCGCCGATTTAGCGGCCCTTGCACACTTATCACTATATTCAGAACATACAACGCGTCGCTTCCAGGGGACGCCCTAGCACTTGGACATTGATTAAAAAAGTTAATGTCATGACTTTTTTGGACAAATTTTAAGCTGACTATCGACTATCTAACTCAACCCTCCACTTTTTACATCTGGGCTTGGGACTGGCAATGGAAGATGCTCTAATAATCAGAAAAATTATAAACAAGTGACAGGTTGAAGCTAGGGGATGAGAAGAATTCCTTTTGGTGGAATTTTCTTGGCAACAGACCTGGTACAGATTCAATCACCCTGGTAATTGATCATATTGCACCTTTTTACCTCTCAGTGATTATTTTCTGGGCTGGAAGTTGGTTCTATGGCAATAACTTTTTTAATCAAGAAATCAGTATTGCTCAGGTAAATAGTGAATCAACTTTCATTTACTTCTCCCCTTGAGATATGTGGCCAATTGGCTATGAATTGAAGACCATACCTCAGCTAGTACGAGCATGCTAATGATGATAAATGTAGAAATCATCTTTGGAACAACTCATCTAGGGGTTTCTTTGAGTACACATAATGATTCAATACATGTTTTTCGCCCCTTAAGATTCTTATGAAAGCTCATTACAAAATCATTAACATCATCATGGGTTTGCTATAAGTTAAGGTAACTATTCTCTCTACTGTGATAGTTAAGTCTAATTCAGCTTGCAAAAATTATCATCTATTAAGAAAAACAAAACATATTTAGCTAAATTTTCATTTTATTTGTGGGTTATTAGAGGATGGGATCTTGATATTAGTGAAAATCGTGATAAAAAGATTTCAGAAAACCTGTTGATTTAGTCATTCGTTGTTGAGAATCTAAGGTTTTGAACATTAGTTTGCGTCCATAATGATTGATTGTTTACTAGACTTAGCATTTGGGCTTTTGCGTTACAAGAGGGAGATGATTATATGAGTTTTGTCGGTTTGATGACCACTATGAGAGATTGTTGATTTGTTGAGTTCATTTTCTACCGGAAACCTTTTTTTTCTTTTTTTTTTCTTCTTGTATTCTCAGAAACTTGAGCGTACATATGTAATCACTTTTTTGGGGGTCATCATTACCTTCTTGTATTTAATGGTTTCATCTATCGTAAATTTAACATGATAAGTCGCAAAATCTTGCAGTTGTGGACTGAGAAAAACTGATCTACCGGCTATTTATGATCCTTGTGCCTGCATGTATTCTTTTTTCTCGTTATACTTTCAACCCTATTTCCTTTTACCAACCTGACGGTCGAACAAAACTCATCAAGACCTCTCCCCAATTTGGTTTTTTGGGCAGGAGATTCTTCACATCAATCACTGCCAGATGAGATTCTTGCATCCTGATCTTTAAATTCACTAGACTTTTGGCTTCATCATTGATCAAGTAATTAATGTTAGCCACCAAGAAACGAACCAAACTAATGAAATATATTTGGTTTTGAAAGTTGATGATCTATTTTCATTTTTTACTTCAGTATTTATATGAAGTATGACATTGAAATTAAGGTGTGAGAAAATTTAAAATTTTAATTACTTATATAGTGTATTCTTAAATTACATCAATGCTAATGTATATCATTGCATGCCTGATTACACAAAAAATTTAAAGTATTGCAACTTTTATGTAGTTTCAGAACAGTTTTGCTGTCTTTGATAAATCCCATTCAAGCCTTTTTATTGGTTAAATCTTGGATTTATTAAATTCCACCATTCGCAAAATTTAAAGGATTTAAAAATTTTCCCCCTCATAAATCATAAATCCTAAAATAAACAGTCAAACAATTTATCAGAAATTAGCAAGATTTAATCAGTGTCATGCCAAATGGATTTTCAGAATTTAATCTTCCCAAGATTCACTAAATCTAATTTACAGAATTTACTAAGTCCAACTTGTATCCAAACAGTTCCATAAATACTCAGATGTTGACTGAAGGTGTTGACATATTATTAGCCACACAATTCTTATTTCTACAGCATTTACTAAATTATCGAGTTATTAGTTCATTTTGGATTCTGAATGTTTCACTAGGTGGTTCTAAAGTATAAAACTGCTAATATCTTATATTGGTGATGTCTATGCAATCGCAGTAGTTAAATTTAGTGGATCCTTTTCATTGTGCATTTTCGTTTTCTTGTTATTGGATCTAATAGGTTCTCATTTTCTTTTTCCTTTAATGTTTTGTTATTTTACCCTACAAAATGCTCAAACTCCTTAATCTGTTGTTACACTTCGGAAAAATAAAGTAGGGGCATTTACATACATACCGTGCGATTCTTATGCATTTACATTTCTAACTCCTAAACATTCATATACTCAAATCTTTAACATCACATTAAAAATACCACCATTGCTACATTTTAATGGTGAAATACACGCTTTCATACATAGTTTTATGACACCAAGATCTTACAAGTTTAAAAATCAAAATTTGGGTATTAGATATTTAAATACATAAGAATTGTGTGTTATGTATTTAAATTCCCCAAAGAATTAATCGATTGGATTGACACAAACATTTCTATGAAATGTTAATGTTATAATTTTGCTATACAAGTATAACTTCATTTCTTCTATGAAAAGAAGGCTCTGTTGGAATTTCTGCATAATCTTAAAAGATTTTATGGAAATTTTCCCAATGAAATTGTGTTTTTCCATGAAATAATAAATTCTCAATCCTGAAAAATTCATTCATATTCCTTTTAGGTAGGACTAGTAGATGGGGGTAATCCTGATAAGACAGTTCTGACCGATGCCTGGAAATCATGGCTCGAAGAGCACTTAACCATCACAGGTAAAATCCCACCTGGCAATCAAAGCGGGAACAACACATGGGTTAGTAGACCTCAAACTAAACCGGATCTCCGATTGACTCGCGGCCGTCATGTTCAGCTCTCGGTTCCACTTGAGGAGCTCATCGATCGGCTCGTCAAGGAGAACGAAGTAGTCGCATTCATCAAGGGATCAAGAAGCGCCCCTCAATGCGGTTTTTCGCAGCGAGTTATCAGCATACTCGAGTCTCATGGTGTGAATTTTGAATCCGTAGATGTGCTCGATGAAGAACATAATTATGGATTGAGGGAGACGTTGAAGAAGTATAGCAATTGGCCGACGTTTCCGCAGGTATTCGTTCGCGGGGAACTGGTTGGTGGATGTGATATTATTTCATCTATGGCTGAGAAGGGAGAGTTTGCCGCATTGTTTGGGAAGTAGTTTCTGTATCGGTATTTTAGCATAGTTACATATATGTTTGGATGAGAGATTCACTAGCGTTGGTTGTGCTCGAGTTATGGAACTGTTGGTGTCTATAATTTTTTTCAAAGTGGGAAAAAATTTGCGTACATAAGAACGTACGCAGAGCTGTGTACGTCTGTAACCTGCACCTGTAACCTCTCTGTAACATATTTGTATATGAAAACAGAAGCGCGAAACTTATTAGAAGGTACAGGTAGGTTACAAGAATGTTACAGGGAGTATAACGCGGTTATAACCTTCTAAAATCCTCTCTGTAATCTGTTTGCAGGTTACAGATGTACGCAGTTCTGCGCATGTCTTATGTACGCAAATTTTTCCCAGAGGGTTAAAAAAAGTTTCGCTTGGGTTAAAGGATTTCTATTTTAATTTGATATTTTTGCCTTTTTTAAGTTGTGTGAGTTTCAGAATTGTTAAACTTAGTCTTATTTGTAGCTCTGTAATCTTCAATATTTTTACGGAGTAAAGCTTCTTTTATTTCTAGAATTCATATAATCTGATTTTAAAACACTATTGCTTGTCTATCATGTAAGTAATATTTCTGGCCATTCACCTTTGATGACCAACATTAGTTATATCAAACTGCTTTTGTTGTCAAAAGTGATTTTAAAACAATTTGATATATAATATGTATGATCATCAAATATACTTTGGATGATCGCTCATATGAAGATGAAGAAATAAGGATATAAAGGCTGCAAGAACGTAGTCTGCAGTTTACAAGCTCGATTTGTGTATTAGCATGTAGTTTAAAAAGTGTGACTGGTATTATGCAAAAAAATGATATTTATTTGCGTCACAGTGAACTTCATTTTTCAAGTCAAGATAAAGGTAAAATGTTTCAATTAAAATTATAAAAGAACACTTGTCTTAGAAGTAAAAAAACTGAAACAGTAAATCTCAAAACTACATGAATATAGATAGCACATGTATGTGTATTATATTTTAAAAGATGATTTAAATACATACCACATATTTCCTATGTATTTATATATATCTAACACCTAAACTTTGATTTTTACATATATGACACCATACCCATAAATGAAAGATGAAATAGTGGCGTCTTTGATGTGATATGAGAGATTAATGATATAAATGTAAGAAATAAAATTTACATATCAGATAGGTAAATATACGGGAATTGATTAGCATGCATGTAAATGCCCCTATTTTTAAATAATACAATGTTGTCTTTGGTTGGCAAACAGAAGTATTATATTTGATTCATGAATTTGCTAATTAAGACCAACAGATCCCAAGACACCTTTTACTTTTTATTTATATGCAGAAAGGTGTATAATGTAATTCTTCATGGTTGATTACATATTTTCATAAGTTGTGCGACTGTATTTATATGAAGCCTATAGATGTATTGTCCTCCAACTCATGTTGGAATCTATCTATCTATCTGTGCGTGTGTGCGTGCATGTGAAAAAATTTAAAAAAACAAAACAACTTAGCTCATTTTTTTAAGAAAAAAAATTAGCACTGCATAAAAAAGAAAAGAGAAATAAAAAAATTGGTATATAGTTCGAATAAAGTTAATAGTGATGAATATCATGATGAAAACTAGTGCTTGAATTTTAAGTCCAGTTTCATAAGAAAATTCTTAGCTTTTTGTACATAAAATATATAGAACTGTTAGCAGCATGGTCTTGCTGTTTTTTAATATAACAGCAGCTTCCTGCCAACGGGTAATCTTCATGCCTTAAACGTTAAATAGAAACGCAATAAAATGCATTGAGTTGATCATTCAGGACCAAACCACATCGAGGTTCTTCCCAAATGCTGGAGCTGGCAATTTGTTACCAATCAGTTGTCTCAGCTCAATTTCGCCAGGAAATCTTTGTTCCTTCAATTTGGAGAAAACCTGCACGTTTAAGAGAAACTTAAGTCAGCCACCAGAATCATACAATCACTAGGTCTTGAGTTCAAGGACTAAAACAAACATATGGGAAACAAGTCGCTTCAATTGATTAATTCAAAAAAGAAAAAAAGTTTCTTAAACCAGAAAATTCATCAAACTTCTATGGAAGATTTTCAATTTCTACGTATTTACATATCTAACACAAGCTTTAATTTTTACATATACGTCACCTTCCCCATGCATTAAAAAGAACTTCACTTTTTAAAAGTTAAGATACTGGTATTTTTATGTGATATGAAAAATTAGTGTGCTATAAATGTAAAATGTAAAGTTTAGGTGTTAGATATGTAAATACATAGGAACTGCCTCTACTTCTATGCGAGAAATTGCAAGTGGTTATTCAGTTCTTTGAATAAAAATAGAAAAAATAAAAAACCTGGAGATCTAAAAGATGAACTACAGAATTTGCTTCAATGGAGGCGGTTCCTAACAAGGTGTAAATATCATTCGAAGTAAATATATGAAATAAATGCGCAGAATCCTCCATTTTTTTCTATTGGGTATTGTATTAGGTTTTATGAACCATTTCCAAACCAGTTTCTTAAAACACAACTGATATAATTGTAGTTTAATAAAATTTTCTCTTACCCACCGTGATAATTTTAAAAGTAGGATCCAGATTTCTCCTTACAAGAAAAAAGTAATAGGGAAATTTACATACCCAGGACTCAATTCTTACGTATTTACATATTTCACACCTAAACTTTCTTATTTTAATACATAGCACTTCAATGTTTTAAAGCTATGCATGAAAAGGCGTTGCACTCATAGGAAGTTTTGACTGCTTTGTGTGTAAAATGTGAAGTTTAGCTGTAGGATATGTGAATATATTAGAATTGACTGCTACTATCTATGTAAATGCCCCCAAAAAATAATAAACAATTAGGATTTAAAAAGTAAAGTGTTATTCATCAGTCGTCAAATATCAATCATTCGTCTAAAAAAATCATTACATACTACTAGAAATACAAAAATAAGATGCAATATCATAGCACATACCAATTCGCCATTGCAGTAAACCTCAAAAGCCCCCGAACTCTGCAGAGAAGATTGAAGAAAGTTGCCAAGAAGCCAAGTGGAGGCTATTGCTCCAAATCTATTGGCACGCAGAGAGTAGTACCATGGAGGAGGTGCCATTCCCAGTCTGGGAAAAATATGCTCTCCGGCCACAATAATAGCAATCAATCCCACTTGGGCAACAGGAACTACCTTGCTTGCTATGCGTTTTGGAAGAGGAGGAGGATAATTTGATAGGATAACCTCAATTCCAGGAAATGAAGCTTCAAGCATATTCTTCATGTTTACTGCAGTTCCTCTTACCAAGAAAACAGATTAAAAATCAATTTTTTTGGAGAAGCAAAAAAAATAAAAGAACGAGGTTTAAGTAAATCTTGATAACAAACTAGCAGTCCATCATAAAATTTTGTTTTTTACCGAAATTATTTTCCTCTTAGGCAAAAGATGTAAATAAAAAATTTCAATGAAAAAAACAACATACCGACTTTCATTAACTATTTCATACAACGTACATGAACTTGTCCAATAGATAAGCCACGAAACAAAAGAATTTCAGTAAGAACAAAAATGGACAAAAAAAATTTATGTATTTAAATTTTTAATACTTGTACACAAGGTTTTAAAAACCGTACCGGGCCGGCTGGTTTTATCTGGTTCAACCGTGAACCAATCATTCAACCGATTTGATCCAAGCTCAAAACTATTTATGCATAGATCCGGGATTGAGCTGATCAGAACCAAGGTTGAGCCGATCAGGTTTTATAAAACCGATCAGTTAAATATTATTAAATTTTATCTTTTGATTTTGATGGAATGATCGTTAATAAGAAATTTAAAATAAAAAAGAACATATCATGTCTTTAAATTTTTATTTATACTATTGTTCAACATATTCATTTTTTAAATATAAATATTATTTGTTGAATCGATAAAAATAATATTAATGTGTCGTTATTATGTTATTTAAATTAAATTAAAATAATTTAATTATTTATTACATCATATCACTTCAACCCCAAATGAACCATTAAACCTGAAATCTTTACTTCTTTCGAATTGATGTCTGGTCCGATTTTCACAATATTGGATATGACATTTGATAGCAGTCAAGCTCCTCTAAATATATTTTCATAAGCCAAAAATAAAATGGTAAATCTTATGATCTTCGCGCTTGCCAATTGCAGGGACGAATTTGATGATCTTAGCAAACTGCGTCTGGTACTCTCGAACAATCTTCAATCTTTGCTCCAGTTTCCTCAAATCATTCATCAGCTTAGCACGGTCCACCATGGGAAAATACTGCCCCATAAATAGTCTGTCGAAATCCGCCGAAGAGATTACCGCAATAGGTTCAAACATATTGCGGGTGACTCCCAGGAATCAACAGCTCCTTCACGCAACTAAAAATATAACAATGTCCACCTTATGGTCCTCAAGGCACTTTAATCCACAAAGTCTCTTCTTGATGTCCTGAAGCCAAGCATTCGACTCAATCGAGTCTACCGCACCATTGAAGGTATAAGGGTGCCTTCAAAAATTGATCCATTGCTCGATCGATAGTATTACTCTAGTCATCACTACTGGCTGGTTAGATTGAATGTCCATGGTGGCAATTGGTGGTGCTGATTGAACTTCTTACTGTTCCAGTTGAGCAATTTGTTGATCACCTGAAGTGTCTATGCAATTTGAGCTACAGTACTAGCTTGCAGTGTCTCGGTACCGTTTTGTGCTACAAAGCACGGACACCACCAAACAGATGGCGTACCCATGTTGAACATGTCAGACACGAACATAATTTCGACATTAATCGATACGTGTCCAACACACTATTAATCATATCAAAACTCTCCATTTAATTTGGCATGATTCGAACACTGCTTGACACGACTCAACACCAACACAAAATCAAAAATTTGAGTAATCAAAGCAGAATTCGAAGCAGCAACACAAAATCAAAATTACGGCATCCTCGAGCAGTAAACCTTACCCATTGCCTCACCATCTTTCTCAGCAACCTTGCCGAAGCAAGTGGCAAACAAGCCGTCGTTGAGTATATCACTGGTCAAAGCAGAGGAGTCTTTGATGTGATCCAAAGTTTCAATGCTATCTAAAATAAGATCCAGAGGTTCAACAGGACCATCAACCACAATACAGAGCTTAGACGCAAGCTAGGGCACGATCGAAAGCCCTTGTCCCAATGTGCGGGTTTAGCAACTGAGCGATTAAGCCTTTGTCCCCATATTTATTTTGTCATTGTTTTTTTGAAGTTTTTTTTTTCAAGATTGGGATTTCCATACATAACACGGAATTCTCATGTATTTTACCTATCTCACACCAAAACTTTGATAATTACATGCATACTACTTTACCTAATTTGTGAATGGTGATAATTAATGATTGTTTCGATGTGGTAGAACATAATTGAGTGGTATGTAGATAAATATGAAGATTTGGGTGTTAGATATATAAATTCAGAAGAATTGTGTGTTATGTATGTAAATGCCCCATAATCTTATAAGTTATTTAAAAATGTAAAATCTAGCATATAAATAAATTAGCACCTTATCACTAAAAAACTCCATTTGCGAGATAAATTGACAACCTATAATGATTTGTGATATCTTTAATACAAAATATTAAAAATATATAATTAGTAATTTATTAAATATAAAAAAGTGTCCATGTTGTATCGTGTCCTTTTCTTGCAATTATATTATGTCATCGTATCATATCGTGTCGTGTCAGTGTCTCAGTATTTGTGTCCGCGCTTCATAGGTTTTGTGTCATCTCCAAAAAAGTAGTCATATTAAGAGTCGGTGCTCCAATAGTCTCAGTGGGTTGACCAAGATCAGCAGACAACGACAAAGGGAGCAGAACCCCTAGGTACATGTACTTAGTAGCTCTCGAGACTCCCGTTGCACGAGCGATTACAACACCTCTTCTTTTTGGAGTCATTCTAAACAATTAAATTTATGTGAAATCAAAATTGGCTAAATAACTAGAATAATTTATTCCCCATCCAATCCTAAGAAGACAAGTAAAATGGAATACAAAATAAGGATGTATAATACAAAACATAATCTCTGACACAACTCTGTCACGACTTTGGTCTGAAAGATGGCAAGCCATGGGAAAAAGGGCGTGATGGAAATATTTGAACCTATTTTATATTCTCAAAAGAAGATATAGAAGCAATATGAAAAGAATATAAATTTTATTTCATTTCATTCCATAAGTTTGACAAGTGAACTTAAAAGAAAAGAAAAAATTGAATTGACAATAAGAAAAAACTGCCCAAACCCAAAAAGTAAAAAATATAATTAATTTGAAACTGAAAATAGTCAAAAATAAATTTAAAGCTACAAAGTTTGATTCAATGGAGAGGATCCTCTGAGTTTAACCTACTATATAAAAATTCAACGAGTGAGTTTGACAAATCAAACTCAATAAATAACTAATATTTATTAAAGTATAATGACAAAAGATGGGGCATGCATTATGAAAAAAGAGGAAAACTTATTTTATGCACAATAAAGTTTATAACAAGAGTATTAAATGCATATGATCATTAATATGAGTAACTTAAACTCATACACTTCTATAAAGATATTATATGCCACAATATCAGATGTATTTATACGCACAAGACTTAGAATCTTTTAAAACTACCTGATATTCTTTAAATATACAAGTGCAATATATATATATATATATATATATAATATTTATGGGGGGCTTTTAAAAATTCAGGTGTGTGGCCATTTT